GTGGGGTGGGCACCCTCCTAACCCGACACATCCATGGCTTCCCTGCTGCCCCCTCTTGGACGTCCAGTCTTGGCCCCACAGCAAAGAGGGGATTCCGAGGCCATACGGTGGCCGTTGTTCCGACGCATCCATGGCTTCCCTGCTGCCCCCATGGTGGCTCTTGGACGTCCAGTCTTGGCCCCACAGCAAAGAGGGGATTCCGAGGCCATACGGTGGCCGTTGTTCAGACTGGCTGAGACGCAGAATTCATGGGCAAACCCAGCACGTTTCCAAAGCGGTCGCTGCCTTGGTCGGTCTCAGCCACTGGAGAGCCCGAACACAGTAAAAAGAAAGCAAAAGGCGGTGATCCCTTAAAGGTGTGGCATCTTACTAAGTGGATTTTGATCCACAAACCTCACGTGGAAACAAATCTGTCAGTCTTCTTGGTGCCACAACATTATGTAATTTGGGGTTTCCCCCCCCAACCTGTTTTTTATTTTCATTTTGTCAATAAACTAAGCTAAAAGGACCTCTTCGCTCCTCGGATTACGAGGCACGATTGCGAGGTGTGTCAGCCATTCCCCAGGAATAGTTTTTCTGCTCCTTGGAGATTAAGTTTTAAAGTATTTCTAAACGTGTAATTTTTATTGTTATTTTAAAAAAAGAAGAATCGGCCTTCCCAGGGGTCTGGTTTTCTTTTAAAACGAGCGGCGTCTTTCGTCTCTCGTGTCAGCATAGAAGAAAATAAATTAAACTATAAAAGACATCCATTTTATAAACGGAGTGACTGGAAGTGACTTCCCATTCATGATGGGTTTAACTTGGAAAGGAAGGGCTCCCCGACGGGGGTCATGATCCAGCCTCGGGAGGCAGAGGGGTCCCCTTCGCTTAAACTGAGGCCGGATGGCTTTAGAGCAGGAGTTTTGTGGGTTGAACGGCACCGTGTGCCCCTCTCCCCCCCCCCCATGAAGACCGTTGCTCCCGTTGCAGGAAACACCAGCAGTATGAGTGCAAATGGTACTTACCCCTGGCGGAGCTGGTCTTCCCGTCGCTGGAAGAGTCGGACTCGTGTCCACACGTCCACGCCCTGCCGGACCACGACTTGGAGGACATGAAAATGAAAATCTCCTCCATGAAGAGCGAGGTGCAGAAAGAGGTAGAGGCTCTCCTCCCATGTCATTGCTCTTTGTTCTTTTTGTACTGCTTTGGTGTCAGGCTTCTCGGGTGTTGATCCTGGCCGGGTCCTGAGGTCTCTCTTGCTCTCTGGCTGGCAAGAAGCGTTGCCTTTAAGCAGAGACTTTAAAGTCACAACATAAAAGGAAAAGGCTATGAGGAGGGAAGAGGAAAACAAGCCAGCTCAGCTGCCAGCTCTGGAATTCCGTCACAACCAGCTGGAGCAGAAACAGTTCAGGGGCAATAACAGGAAGTCAGGCGCCTTGTGCCTTTTGGCAGCTTTTTCAAGCGTTCAGTCCCAGTCCCGTTGTGCAAAAAAAGGTTGACAGGCTCGGTTCAGCAGCCACGGTGCTTTCTCCTTTTTCCTCTGTAGAAGGCCAACAAAGGGCAGAGCCGAGCCATGGAGCGCCTCAAGAAGAAGATGTTTGACAATGAGTTTTGGCTACTCTTGAACTCCCCGTCCATCCCCTTCCGGATCCACAGCCGCAATGGGAAAGTAAGGAGGAAGGGGGTCTGGTGGAGGGACGAGAGCGGGAGGGGGCATAAAAATGTTGGGGTATCTCCCCTGTCACTGGGAGACAGGCAGAATGGAAATGTGAAAAGTAAATCAATATTGTTGGAAATAAACTCTCACCAACCAAAATAATCCAGCTATAACTGTGACACGAAAGGCATTCCTATTGCTGAGTACAGACGTTGCTCAGATAATTATAAAATACAGAGAGAGGTGGTGAAAACATTATACAGTAGCAGTTGTTTTAAACAGTGACTAAAACATTCATGCTAAAATAACTGTTGGCCCTCCTACAAGGAAAACAGACAACAGTCATCATTCCGCAAGTCTGCTTTGTAATGAAAACTGGGCATTTCTCCCCCCCCTCCTCAGGCAGCTTCCACGTTCCACTGGCCTCCCGTGTGCCACCGGGATGAGAAACGCTTCTCTAGAGGTGTTGGCTGGTGACTCCAGGTTTCTTGGAGTGGGGGAGGCTGTGAATCCACTCTGGGTTTTACTCCACAGTTTTGCAGGAGGTCTCCAAGGTGCTGAAAAGAGTCAGTTTGATGCAGCGCCTAAACTAAAGGCGAGGCCAAAACATGGAATGGAGTTGCAGCCCCTCTGAAGTGGGAGTCACACCGACCTCTGCTTCTTTGCTCTTCTGTAGAGCTTTTCGGGGGAGAAGGGGCAGGTGCAGAGATCCTCTCCGGGACCCACCCAGGCTTGACGGCATCTTGTTTCCTTCTAGAGCTACCTGTTTTTATTGTCCTCTGACTACGAGCGGGCCGAGTGGAGAGAAGCCATCCAGAAGCTGCAAAAAAGAGGTGAGGAATTATCTCATGATTGTGCCCGTCTTAGCGAGTAGAGTCTTCCTTCGCGTCTGAACGCGTGGTTCAAGAATGGAGGTCTCGGGGGGGGGAGGGGTTGTCCGGCCGATGCCCTCCTCCCTTCCTTGGCCTGCTACCAAATCCCACTGCTGCAGAAAACTCTTCTTTTGCCTCTGGGTCAAACAAGGGGCCCGCAGTGCCCCACAAAAGCCAAGGGTTTCCAGGTTTAGAGCTCAGAAACGCAGTCAGTTCCGCTTTCTCCCAGACATGGATTCTTGAAACCTTGTGGTCCTCCTGCCTGGAATATGGAGAAATGTTTCCGTTCTGTACATTTTTTGCCAACGCGGCCCTGCTTTGCTTCCTCCAGCAAATTCTGTGCCGGAATGCCAGTGGCCGGGTTGCCCCTTGGATTCAGTCGCTGAAGGGCCAACCGATCCTGTTTGTTCACTAGCCCTCCTTCCTCGGAGCTCCCAGACCGAAGGAACGGGGTCGGACGTAGCTGTCCTGTCCTGTGGAGGGCGAAGAGGTGGCTCTTCTCATTAAAAAAGGGGCGGCCACCCCAGTTCCAGCTCTCATGTAGTGAAATGCACCAGAGCCTTCCAAAGCGGACTCGTGGGAGTGAAGCGCCCCAAACGCTGGGCCTCAGTGGAAGGCTCTGTCCCGGTTTCTTCCACTCAAATTTTTTTTTAAATTCCCAAGTTCTTTCCATCCTCAAGAAGAAAATTTGCCTTAAAGTTTTACCCCCACAGGAGCTGAAATGGAATCCTCGCCCATCCTTAGCAAACGGTAGAGCCTTTGCTAAGGGCGACCCTTTTTTGTCCTGGAATGAGGGCCTTTCGTGTCTACCCTGGGAGACTCGAAGCTCTTTCTGCCCTAATCCCTAGATAGACCCACCCCGGTTTCCACTTCCTTCTAGCCAATCACACATTTTAACCTGATTCCCCCTCGCGCACTTTTCCCCCCCTGCCACCTTTCTGCCTTTCCTGGGACCAGACCTCCAGACCTTCGTGCTGAGCTCCGTGGAGCTGCAGGTGCTGACGGGTTCCTGTTTCAAGTTGCGCACCGTCCATCACATCCCCGTCACCAGCAATAAAGACGGTGAGTAACGCCTTTGCCCCACGTCTCCCGGTCCGGCGGCCGCTCTGCGCCCGGCTCCTCCGTGTCTTCCCTGTCGCTGTGGAGGATAGGTCGGCCGAAACATTTCCCAGACCCTTGTCTGCCTCTTGGAACAAAACCCAACCAGAGCGATGTGGCCGAGAACGGCTAGGGCTGGACAGTCATCAGGTTTCCCAAGTAAAAAGGGGGAGACGTGCATTTACCCACTCCTAGTTGGACATGTTGAACAACCTCCTACAGTTGTACGGTCTGCAGAGCTGGATAAGGGACCCTATGGATTGTCATGTCCAGTGGGGGGATCGAACTGCTGACCGCTGGCTCCGCCGCCAGAGCCCTCAACCTCTGAGCTGTCTCCTTTTCAGGCCTGCTTTGTCTGTGGATGGGTGGCCGCCGCCCCCCCCCCGGAAGTCCAGGCCCAGTGGGGGTATCAGGCCTGCTTTGTCTGTGGATGGGTGCCCCCCCCCCCAATCTCTGCTGCCTGTCAGAGCTGGCCGTCCTCGCCTAGAGGGATCTCCAGGTCTCAGACTCCAGCTAAGGTGCTGCCGGCGGTTATCCGGAACCCTGATTTCTGAAGCTCTTGCGCCACTAGAGGGCAGCACAGAGGCCGGGAAGGGCTCCGGAGGCACCTTTTCCTTCTCCCTCCTTATACCGGCTTTAGTGCATTCCCCTCGGTGGTTTATAGAGTGCTGGTGTTAGGATCCTGGCCTGTCGTGCCACTCGTCCGCTCTCGTTTCTTGGCCAGCCCGGGCTCTGCTGGCGCCGTGGCCTTGCGTCTTCGGTGGTTTCCTTCTCCCTCCAATGAATGGCGGCAACTTCTTCCTCAAATCGAAATGGGTTCTCTCATCCGTTCGCGGCCATGTTACTCGCTCTAACCGAAGGGTGTCCTCAAATCAAAATGGGTTCTCTCATCCATTTGTGGCCATGTTACTCGCTCTAACCGAAGGGTGCGTTCCCTGATGAATTCTCTCTGCAGCCTAAACAGTTTCCCCTTTAGCTTGTCACAGCCTTTCTTTTTATGAATTGTTGCCATTGTGGAAATAAGCCCATACAAGGACCAGAATCCTATTGATGTTTGTGCAACTTGTCGTGGCTGATAGTGGATGATTTATGAGGTGTCGAGGCAGGTCCTGATCATAATACAATAAGATTCGGGCCATCAAGAAATAATTTAAGAGCCAATCTCTCTCTGCCTTCTTTGTTCCTCCACAGATGATGAATCGCCGGGGATGTACGGCTTTTTGCATGTGGTCGTCCACTCTGCCACGGGCTTCAAACAGTCTGCCAGTAAGTGTCACACACACACACACAGACACCAAGTTTTGTGTCTTCGGCTGAGTTTCTTTGTTTAGTGTGAACTGAACCAGCTCCATGGAGGAGAGAGTGCCGGACTAGGGCGGCCCGGCTCCTTTCTGCTGACCAGGCGGTAACCCTGGTGCTGCTGTATCGGCAGCAGAGGGTCCGACTAAGGCACTAAGGGGAACGTCTGTTCCCTCAATTGAAGGAATCTGCAGGTGAAGAGAAACTATATATGCACATACGTACATGGACCGTTGTCTTCCATTCCTTTTTGGAAGGAACCCCCTCCCTCCTCCCAGACGGATTGGACTGTGCCCGGGAGGGAGGGAGGGGAAGAGCTCAGTGGGATCCCATCTAAAGAGGCAAGGGCACACACACACACACCCCCTTTTCCGGGGCTGACGTTATATCTTTCCTCCCCATTCTCAGACCTATACTGCACATTGGAGGTGGACTCTTTCGGGTACTTTGTCAGCAAAGCCAAGACGCGGGTGTTCCGGGATACGACCGAACCCCAATGGAACGAGGTGAGCAAGCGGGTTGGGGTGTGTGTGGAGAGGGGCATGTGTGCAGGCACTGCTGGAAGCCCCCCCCCAAGAGCTTTTCTGACATTAGATCTGGTCCCTGCCCCTTGTCGTTGGGAGATGAGGTGTGCCTCAAGGCCTGTTTGCAGCCAAGACGGCAGCCTCAGAACGTCCCGGTCGCTCCAGGAATGCATGCGCAGGGGGCTTTCCCCTTCGTGCCCCAGAATGAACGCCGTCCTTCCCCCCCCCCCACATATTTGGACTGAAAGGAGAACCTTTGGGTTTGTTCTTCAGCAAAATAAAGGCAGGGTTTGGGGCACTTCCCCCCCCCAATCCACAGGGCCTTCCCATCTTGGCCCAGATAATGAGCTGACGGTGGGTGGCTGGAAGGCTTTCTCTGCATGTCCTCAGAGGTGCTCTTTTTGTCTTGCTTGATGAGCAAGGCAGTCTTTGATTTAAAAAAAAAAAAAACATAGGTTCTGGCCGACACTTCCCGGCCTCTGGCTGAAAAGAGGACCTGCCTCAAAGGAAGGCAGGCTTGGTGGGGTGGGGGCAAAGAACAGGGTTTCCGTGCAAGCTTAAGAATCCCTCTTTTGTGGTTTGGACACAACCCTCTGAGACATTGCCCTCCCTTGGCCTCCACCCTCTCATTAGGTGTGGCAGGTTTATCCAAGAAATCCTGCGATGCCTGTTCAGTCAGCAGAGAAAGTGAAATGAGTCGATGCAGCGTTTATTCTGACAAGCTGATGATGCTCTGGAAAACAAACCCATTTTCCACCCATTTTTCCCACTCCTTAGCTCTGTCTGGTGCCTCCCCCATTTTATTTCCTGAACCTTTTTGACTTCACTCCTCCCTGGTTTGTTTTCTTTTGGTATTTGTACCTCACTTGCTCCCTCCAAGATAGAGAAGACTAGAGTGGAAAAGGATGTTTGAGAAAAGCAAGAAAAACAGCATTTAAAATGTCAGTGCTGTTAAAAAATAATACCAAAGCGACTGTAGTTGAAAGGAGACCTGAAAAGTTTTCTAGAAATATGTGACTTTTTGAGCAAGGATTGAAATGGTTGCAAAATAAGAGACAGCCTGTTTCACGTGGCAGGGAGTTCCGCAAGCTTGGGAGCCCCTCTGGAAGAGACCCCACCAGAGACACATCTGGAGCCCATTCTGCCAGTCTCCAGCGTGTCTCCATTTCTCCACCTCTTCTGTCCTCGCTGTCCTGGGCTCTCACTTACCCGCCCTGCCCCCCCCCTTGCTTTGCCCCCCAACCCCCTGCAGGAATTCGAGATCGAATTGGAAGGGTCCCAGACGTTGCGCATCCTCTGTTATGAGAAGTGCTACGACAAGAGCAAGATGAACAAGGACAACAACGAAATTGTAGACAAGATCGTGGGCAAGGGACAAGTCCAGGTAAGGAGGGCGATGCTTGTGCGAGAGGAACACAAAAAATCAGAATGGGAGGGAAGGAAAACCTTTTGAAACCAGGCCATGTTCTTAAAAAATATAATGAAATAAGGTATTTTGGTGTGACTTTCCTTGAAGGAGAAATCTCAGTTTTAGAACGCGTCGCTTGTGTTGCGGTTTCTCGCCGGCAGAAAGCTAGCCTGTCGGGGGAGAGACAGGTTAACATTCCAGAGCTGATGTGCTGACTTGTTTTGCATTGCTTAAGTTGTGTGTAGTAATTGTGATATGTGTTTATTTGGGAAAATACCGGTGAAGATAACAGGATGAACTGGAAGGAATCCAGCCTTCTCTAGCGCCGGACAGCGTTTCTGTTCCGTCGTCCTTTTCTTCTGTCCAATGTGCTGAGATATAGAATCCTGCCTTCCTTTTAAATCTAAATTCCTCTTAGAGCCCTGGGCCCGGGGCTAGGATCTCTGCTCCCCGTTCTCTCCGGATCCCTCTTTTCCTGGGCTCTCCCTCCCCCTCCCTCTCCACCCAGAACGCTGTGTTATCAGAATTTGGCTCTCAGTCTGGCTTAAGGCAGCCGAGCCGGGGTGTGTGTGGGTGTGTGTGTGGGGGTGGCCCAACCTGCCTCCGGAGGGCTGCCAGCTTCCGACAGTGCGGCATCCAGGAGCTTCCTCGTGGGCGTCTTTTCCTTCCCGTCTAGCAGGCTGGGGTTTTGTCTGGGTTTGGGTTTTTCTGCTTCCAGCTCCATATGGACTTGGGTGAATTCTCCAGGGCCGAGCCCATGGGGGTATCTCTGGCTTCCACTGAAATGGGGGCTCAATGTGCAGAAGCCAATCTGGCGTCTGCCTCCCACGTTTCCCATCGTTTTTAGTGACTTTGACCCGTTCGTTACAGACTTTACACTGGGAGATCCGGCGGTGTTCTTCTGGAGATGGGCAGATTTTTCTCTTCGTTCCTTAAAAGTCAGTTTATCAAACAGAGTCTGTCTTTGCTTTCGTGAAGTAAACCCTGGGAAAGAAATTCCCTGCTACCCTCTTTTGCCTGAAGCCGTCTGTAGTTGTGAAGCAGAGGTGGGGATGGGGGACGCGCACCACCCCAGCACCCCTGGCCCTTTGTGGCACTCACACACACCCCTAAAAATTGGGGGCTCTCAAAGACACCCCCCCTGGTGTTCTTTGTGGAGTGTGGGAAGCAATTGGGAGGTGTTTTCAGGAGACCTCCCACTCTCCTCTTTTTTAAAAAAGTTCAAACATATATTTCGGACCACTAGAGGGTGAAAAGGGATTTTGACATTTACAAATCTGTTTAAAGAATTTTTCTTTTTTAGGTGTGGGAGTCTGGGGAGTGCTTGGTGTGCCTTAGAGAGGAGGGGTCCCAAAGATGCCACAGAGCTTAGCAGAGAGCAGCAAAGCCAGGCCTCACTGGGGCTGCAGGGAGGTAGAGCGTTTTGATGAGCAGGAAGGATCCCTGCCCTCTCCCACCCCCCCCCCGGTCTTCCATGTTCCCTCTGGTCTTAGCTGCTAACCTCACAGTGGCTGCCCTGGGTGAGGTCTCTCCTCAGCAATCTGTGGCCCTTGTAATGCAAAGCATTTTGCCGTGGCAGTTGCTTCTGAATGGGAACTGAAGAGCCGTTGGCTTTGCAAAAGACCCGTTCCTTGTGGAGATTACTATGGATTGAGCGGTTATATTGTTAAAAATCACTTCAGTGCTACATTTGAAGACCATCCATGGACACATGAGTATGAGGTTCTGCCTTGCTGGATGGCCAAACTTCAACCTTTTACTATGAAACCGCCCAAATTCATCTCTGTTTGTGTCTTTAAGTGCCCTTCACATGGGCCAGATTACTGCCTCACTCAATGTTTGGTTCTTCCAAAGGTTTATTTCTTTGTGCTACTTTTTTTTGTTGTTGTTTAATTACAATAGGCTGATTTTTCAGGCACCACTCCCAAAAAGGTTGCTTATATCATAACAAAAACGAACAAACACAATTAGAGCTCAGTTCCAAAACTTGGTTTAGAACAAAAACCACATCATTTGACAGCAGAAAACAATTATGTTAGAAACACAGGCTAGTTAAAAGTAAATAAAACAGTCATCTGGTGAAAAAAAAAATTAAACACTTTAAATGGCTCCATCGGGCTCTTGCAGCGGAAGAGGGCAGAATGGAAAAAGTGAGCAGAAGTAAAGGAGTTTTTAAAAGCTTGTTTGAATGTATGCAGGGTCAAACCACACATACTCCGTATGTGCAGGGAGTTCCACAGGCGAGACCCCTCTTGCCTACAAGGCTGACAAATGGAACGGCGTTCTAGGCGAGGCCTGCGAAGAAGCCCATGTGCAGGGAGGTAGACCACGTTCTCCGAATTAATGATGTTGGAGAGAATACACAACTGCGCCTTCTCCAGTCCTGGCATGAGCAGATTTTATAAAGCTCTCTGTCCCTGAAAGTTCGGGTCTTCCAGATTGTTAAGAAGTTAAAAGACAGTGAAGGAAGCTGACAGGGAGAGGGGGGGAAACCCCACAATTCATCTGAAACGGGGTGAGAGCTTTGTGGGCGTCCCGGTCTGCCGGAAAGACCAACAAGGGGGTCCTAGATCCAGCTGAGCCTGGACTAACGCCCGGAGGCCAAAATGAGGAAACTGAGGCTGCCACACTTTGTCTGATGCGGGTTTGGGCATATTTTTCGGAGCTGTTTGGAACGGCCCAAGCCCTACATGGCGAAATGGGAGCTGGATCGAGGCGAGGAAGCCCGGGTCCATAACTGGGGGGGGGGGCAAACCTAGGGAAGAGCATTGGCCTTTTTCTCTGCCTGGATCCGGATGCCAACGATCCGGAGGGTTTTGAATCTGGCCATCCTTGCCCTGGCCTCTGCCGCCATAGGGAGAGAAGGGGCGCTGGTGGAAATTCTCCCTTCCCCTGGAACCGCAGAGACGTGCGCCTCTCCCAGGCCTCGACAAGGGTGACAAGGCGAGGTGGGTGGGGAGATTCACCCTCCCGGCCCTGCCTTTTGCCATCACTTGCCTCCCGGTGATTTTATTCCTCCCCTCCCGTTGCGCTAGCAACGGTTGCTAGGAGAACCGCTGAGCTTTGCTCTGATTGGACGAGGAGGATCCCAGGAGCTGAGCGAGAGATTTTGGGACAGGCGTGAAAAGGATGCCTGCTAGACGCAGGCGGAGAAGGATGATAGGAGAGGCATCTAGTTGGGTGATACGGGAAGGGAAGGCTGCTACCACGTTCATAATGTTCTCTTCGGGGAGGAGTGTGTCCGTGCGAGGGGTGAAACCGGGATGGCCTTCGGTGCTCATACCAGCTCCTAGCCCAAATTCCCCCTTAACTCCTAGTACTTCCTTTTGAATCGTGAGTTGTATTTCCACCCCCAGCTTCCCTCCAGTCCTCTCAAGCTCCAGGCCTGGGCGGCTGCGCTTTGTCTCAACCACAACCCTGTATGGTCGTCCTGAGCGAGAAAGAGGGGGAGAATGGGTGGCCTGAAGCCCCCCCCCCATGTTTCATGGCTAAGCGGGGGCTTGAAGCACAAAACGACAGTCTTGCAGGGGTGTCGGTGTGTGTGTGTGCGCATGTAAAGACTGGCGCCTTTTAAGCGCGTGCAAAAGACACGTGTCTGGTTTCCCAGATGGGACAAGACGTAATCGCTCAAAATCCTCCCAACAATTCCCTAGCCCAGATCCAAATAGCTGTGTGAGCCTTGGGGGTGATGCGGGGGCAGCCTTAGGAATCCAGGGACCCTCCGGAGGCCGGCCCCCGCCAGGAGGAGGGAGGGAGGGATGGCATCTTCGAACCATTCCCGGCTCTGGTTGGGTGGAAGGGCCGACAGGGTGTCGGGTGAGGGAGGCGGCGAGGCACCGCAGGGCTGTGGGGAGCCTTTTTTTTGGGGGGGGGGGGGAAACGTGGCTGTTTGGATGGCCGGCGGAGGCCTTCTCCCTCCTCATACGCCCAAACAGGACCCGTCCAAATGCCAAAGCAGTTAGGAATGAAGAGTTTTCTGTTGTTACAGCAGCAGAATATTGTTATTTAAATTTATTTATTTACTCACAATATTTCTATGCCTCCTTCCACCTCCAAAAGGACCGCAGGCTTGATAGGAAAATAAACATGACATTATAGGTTGATTGCCCCAGATTCCTGCTTTTTTCCCCACCAAAGAGTTTGCCTCCTCCCTCCCCCCCCCCCCCCGACCTTTCCATGGCTGGGAATTTTCCCTCCCTGGCTGTGGGGAGCGTCAGGTCGGCAAACCGGCACAACCTGTGTCTTATCGGGACCAGGGCCAGATTCAGATGCGCCGAGACCTTGAGCTGCCGTGAACTGAAGAAATGCCACTGAATGGCAGAAATATGTGGATCGGTTTCGCCAGGGTGTAAAACCAGGAATGTCAGCAAAGGGTTTGGGCAGCTGAGGGGAATCTGGCACCTTGAGCTTAGCTTGTGGGGAAAGCCAGTCCAGCTGGGGGGGGGTGTCCAGCAGAGGCACCCAGGGGTGGACCAGGGAGAGCCGGCCGCTGGGTGTCATTTTACCTCCTCCTCCTTCTCCAACCACCCAGCGTCCTCTCTTCTCTCTCCAGAGCCTCCCCAGTGTTTCCTTTTTTCAGGGAGGGGAAACAATTCGGCCATCCTGCTGCTGGGATTTCCTTTCCCAAAAACCTCCCCTCCTCACACACACCTCTTATTTCTCTCTCCTCCTCCTTCTCCTCCTCTTTTTTTTAAAAATCACTGACCGGGGCCCCTGCAATGGGAAGCAGATGTCTGTGGGGCTTGTGGGCTGGTTGGCCGTGGCGGGACCCTCCACCCCTCTCTTCCTCCCTTCCTCCCTCCCTCTTCTGTGCTGGCTTGTAAATCACGCACAGGGGGACTGCTAGGTAAATCAACCTCTTCTCCCCCCCCCATTTTCTTGGGAAGCAGCCAGCAGGAAAAAGCTGCTTCTCACAAGGAGGACATAAATGTTTGCAGGCATCCTGTGCCCCACCAGGCTTCGGGTGACCTTCGCTT